GCGTGTAAGTCCCCAATGAGCATAGGGTGACCAGGAGACCTTAAAAGAACGAAATCTCTCCTCAGTTTTCTTCAAGAATAGGAAGCAACCAAATGGCAAGTACTCTATGGTTTGCTGGATCTTAGGAGCTATGCCTGAGTTTTGTAACTATGAGATTCTTCTCATTGTTATGGCCAAGGCCCCGAGCCTGGATGAAGCACCGACTACATCCAGGGCTGACTGTAAGAATGTCTTGGCCACTAAATGGCCTTCTGTAATAAAGGCCTTGAACTCCTGCCTGAAAGATTCTGGCAACTTGTCCACAAATTTGGACATAGCATCCCAGTTCACAGAATTATTTTTCGATAACACAGCTTGCTTGTTTGTAATGTGCATCTGCAAAGTGGGAGTCAAGCAGATCTTTCTCCCCATCAAATCTAGCCTTTTGGACTCTTTCCATAGGCACCAGTTTACATCTTCCCTGTCTTACTTTCTCATTTGCCACTATATCAGTCAGAGAATTCGGAGCTGGATGAGAGAAAATAGACTCAAAGCCCTACACTGGCACACAGTATCTTCTGACAGCGAGCTTTGCTGCGTGCATTAACAAAGCAAGGGCATTCCACAGGGATTTACCAGGCTCTTGTATTGCTTTGTTTATAGGGCTGCAACTATCCAAGGAACCGATGGCTGGAGAATAGCCACCAATGCAGCTGTAGGGGGTGTGTAGGTGTTTTCCTGTACAAACTCAGCCTGAATTCCAAAGGCCGATACCAGGCAACTAAGCAGATCGTGAAAAAAATCTGAAGTCATCCAGCACTGAAGACTCAGTACTCCTGTGTCATTTGGCGATGAGGAGAAAGATATAGTTGGGACCAATGGAATCCCTTGAGGAATGACATCTGACTGCCATAATGGTTCAGGATACCCCATGGCAGAAGGAGCTGATGGCTGCAGGCCTGGTGGTTCTGGCAGGGAGCCCGTTGTAGGTACAGGTGAACTCACCCTACAGTGTACAGACAACCAGCATTTCTTCAAACAAAGGACTTCCACAGAGGCTTTGTCAACCAGAAAGAACTAGGCCAAGGTCTCATGTCTCTACTGCAGGAACGGTACCAATCCCATTACCAACTGTGATTCCTGCTGTGTCTTGATGACCTTTGAGATTGAGAGCAATGGGAAAGGGGAGGGAGCTTGACTGTGAGGATCCCTCCAAATAGCTTGACAGTGTTGTTGGGGTCACTGGATGGGGCCACTAAACATTCAGCATCATCCATAGCTCAACCCCATGATGCCACTGGTACCAAAGGAACAGTCAACAGGACCTTCGATATTGGTACTGGCCTCAACCTCACACTGGGTTCCGAAAGAGGCATCAGGACCAAAAACGAAGATGGTCCAAGGACAGCAGATGCAGGCTGCACTGTAGAGAGCACCACTACCGAAGATTGTATGCACGTCAACGATGCTCTTCATGCCAAGCAGGAAGTCGACAACAACCCTGCACCAAGGTAAACTGCAGTACGAAGGATGGCATCAGCAACAACAGTAAGTCTGCCACCAAACCAAGGGGATCTGAGGACGCCAAGGATGACAGCACTGTAGTCGACTGGTCCTGAATGAGCGGCGAGTCAGGCAGAAAGGAACAGAAAATCTGCTGCTGCCTGATATACAGTCAGGTGTTGGATCATATTAAAGAAGTTCTGTATTAAAATCACAAATGAGTGTGATTCCCCATAGTTTAAATTCCAGGTTATTACTAATTAAGAGGTCTCTTGGTTTTGGTACTGTTTCTCTCCCTCTATGTGTGAAACTTGCAAGCTGCTGATTGCATTAGTACATTCTAAGACAGAGTCTGTTCTCAAAGCAATTCACACAGAGACTCAAAGCAATACTCTGTAACAACAGAAACAGCACCCAGAGACTCCCCACCCTTTTGTTGTATTAACAATTGTGATTAAAATAGAGATAGAAGATGTATGTGGATGGATGCTTGGTGTGGATAATAACTGAATGATCAGCGAGGTGCCAGCCTAAGAATCCAGTGTCCATCAGCTGAAGAAGGCGTCAAGTGGAAATAACCAGAGGACCCCCGGAGGGCAGACTGGAATCCACCCAACAGTGTCAAGAATGGGAGAACCAAAGAACAAGATAACATCTAGCAGCACGGAGCCGTCAGGAATGTGCTATCTGCTGATTGACTCAGCAACAGCATGATGAAGCAATTCCCACAGAGTGGCCTAGGAATAAATTCCTATAAAAATAGACTCTAGAAAGTGAGAACTTTGGGGGGGCGGGGAAGGGGGGAGTCTGATTCTGCAAACCAACTTCCAGGAACATCAGATGAGTATCTGACAAGGCCCTGCTCCCCCCTCATGTCCAGGCCACCCGGCCAGTGGCTTGGCATGAGCAACTCTAAGGCTGGTAACTATGATGATAACCTTGCAGAACCTGTGTGTGTGTTTGTATGAATGAATGTGTGAATAAATATGAGACTGAATGGAATGTTATAGCTATAACTAACTGCTTACTATGATTCTTTCTGTATTCACAATAAATGTGGTATTTTGCCTTTTTCCCTTTTAATAAGATCCTGCTGGTTTTTATTTTATTGGTACAAGACAGGGAGGAGACCGACAGTCTCAACAGGCACCTAAGGCAGTACTGAGTCAACAGTACAGGCCCTCTCTGCTCCCACCTCAGTACTGGAGAGTGTGTTGATAGTCCCACTCTAACCAGTATACCGGAGACTCTCAGTGCTGCTCAGTACTATTCTTAGGCACAGAAGTCAAGTCCGACCTCTGGAATGGCCCTGGGCTGTCTTATGAGATTTCTTCTCAGATAGCCCAATGGTTCCTCTTCCTTCCACATGAGTAATTTGAGCTTGGCTGAGAAGTCCCAGCTCTGGTGCTCTTTGACTTTCCAAAGTGACTTTCCAAAGTGGTCCACAGCATCCAGGCAGGCTTCAAAGTCTGCTCCAGAAGGTGCTGCTTCAGTCTTAAATCTCTAGCCATCTGGTTCCTCTTTTTAAAGAACTTACAAATAGAGTGCCTTTCCTTAGTGCGTCCTTCCCCAAATCACAATCAACATCTATCCTCACCAATTTAAAAACAAGTAGTACAAAATGAATAATTCAAACAAGTCTTCCAAAGGAATCCAAAGAACAAAATGTAAACAAACTATCAGAGATGAATGGAAAATGGCAGACATGCTGAGGAAACACCATTTAATAAACTAGAAAGAAGAGAAACAGCAAATGCTGACATGCCATAACTCTGCTAAAGTTTAGCAAAACCTGGGCTATATATTAAGAAACTGACATACTTTATTCTTTAGATGGACATAGTGCAATGAACACTGCAGAAGTACTTTCAACTTCTTGCATATAGCATTGAGAGTTTTTGGATGAAAAAAATCACATCCATTGGATAAAACATTTTCCTGAACTTCTGCCTTTAAAACCAAGTAAATATGGTTCGTATAGGACACTGAAAATTCAAAAAGCTGTCAGAAATGAAAGACGAATTTAATTGCAAGCATTGTTAGTACATGTCCCAAGACTCAAGCAAGCATGCTATTTGTTATGAAGGAAAGTTTCACACAGAATAAGAGTAAACTAAAAGAAGATACTTTTTGTTTTTGAAACGGTTCCATGATATTTTTAAAAACAAGCTATCTCCAACTGTCTCTTCATCTAGCCATTTCTATATTTTTTTTTAAAATGGAACTAACTTAACAAGATTTGTGACAGTTGCCCTGACTTCTCTGCTTCTATACTGTATCTACCTGTATTCCGTGATCTTTGTCTTTTTATAATGTAAATTCGAGAGGAAACAGACTATGTCTTCATAATTCTGAACAGCACCTAGTTCACTCTGGCTAAATAAGATTGGCAGTGGCTAAGAGCTGGCAATTCAGGGTAAACTTTTCTCGTTGCTTAAGTAAAACGCCATATTTTATTTTTTTAATTTAGAAGACACACCAGAACTAAGCTCCTGATGGAGAAAATAATGGAACTAAGCATATGCACACTCTGAATACCGCTTATGGCTGCTAAAGTGTTTTTAACTAGGATAGTTATGTGAACTGTAAAAATCAAACTACACATTTAGTGTTAGCAGAATGTTGATCTCCTCTAAAAGTCCTACTATATCAAAAAGTAGCATATTTTCCTGTAGAAAAGTTAGTTAAAAATCTAACTTCTTACAGGTATAAATGTCTTCCTTTTACAGATATAAGATTACTACTTTTACATATATTGTCAAACTTAGACCCTGCTCCTGAAAACACTTATGTATATACTGAACTTTATGTATGTAAGTAATCCCATTAACTTCAACATGACTACTCATGCACTTGAAGTTAAAACACGAGTAAGCATCTGCAGGACCAGGCCTTAAGGCTCAAATTTGTAAAGACATGCATGTAAAAGTGTGCGAGCATAATTTATGAAGTAACTTGGCACAAAATATATATGCAAAATTGCACATGCACAATTTTGAAAATTTTGCCCTAAATCTAAATTAGAATATTCCATTTCATTTCACCTATGAACAGTAATTATTGCTTTGGTTTTTGTAAAAAAAGTAATAATATTTTTAGTGGTGAAAGTATTTCAGTACTATGGTACTGAACATTTAGTGTACCAGATGTAGCTCCTTCCTAGCAAAGAGATGCTGATGGTATAAGGTACATGTTGCCAATGTTTACAGAGCGAACAAAGCTATTTCAAAGATGCATGCCTGTTTCAGCATTAACTAAAAGTTATGATATAGTTCATAAGCCTCTCCACAAGAAGAAGGAAAAGAACAACTTTCTACAATTGAGCTAAAAACATTCCCATAATAATTTTTGGACTTAGCTGACATTCTTGAATTATAAACAGAACTGCAAACTTTATTTCTACTAACAAAACATGCCAACTGCTTCAAAACAAGCAAGCAGAAGTATGTCAAACTGATAATTTCCTACATTTTTTGTGCTGCATAAAGCCAGCAAACATAAAAGAGATTTTACCATACCAAAAGTACTAGTTGACTCTGGTGATGTTACCCGCTTCGTTGCCTTCTCAAAGGGTACCAGTGGTTTTGGGTATCTGGATGCTAAACGTTTTAAAAAGCAAAAACAGGAACAAGTCATTCTCTAGTAGCTTATATTATTTAAAACCATTCCAGCTACCATAATTTACCTGCCAGAAAGGATACGGCCTTTATAACTGATAGAGAGGCCTAATCCTGTAAACAGAACTCCCACTGATCGCAGCACCATTGGTCTTTAATAAGATGTTTTCATGACAGTAAAGTCTGTAGCATCAGGCTCTGAGAATTTCTAGAGAACTATTGAGAATAGAGAAATAGATGCCATATCAAATTAAAGAAGTGGTCTTCATAAAAATATACAGACAGAACACTGCAGGATGGAGCAGAAAGTGAAATCTGGTGAATGAGTCATAAAACGAGTTAATGACAGGTTTCAGAGGAACAGCCGTGTTAGTCTGTATTCGCAAAAAGAAAAGGAGTACTTGTGGCACCTTAGAGACTAACCAATTTATTTGAGCATGAGCTTTCGTGAGCTACAGCTCACTTCATCAGATGTTTACCGTGGAAACTGCAGCAGACTTTATATACACACAGAGAATATGAAACAATACCTCCTCCCACCCCACTGTCCTGCTGGTAATAGCTTATCTAAACTGATCAACAGGTGGGCCATTTCCAGCACAAATCCAGGTTTTCTCACCCTCCACCCCCCCACACAAATTCACTCTCCTGCTGGTGCTAGCCCATCCAAAGTGACAACTCTTTACATAATCAAGTAGGGCTATTTCCTGCATAGATCAAGGTTTTCTCACATCCCCCCCACCCCCATACACACACAAACTCACTCTCCTGCTGGTAATAGCTCATCTAAACTGACCACTCTCCAAGTTTAAATCCAAGTTAAACCAGAACATCTGGGGGGGGGGAGGGGTAGGAAAAAACAAGAAGAAACAGGCTACCTTGCATAATGACTTAGCCACTCCCAGTCTCTATTTAAGCCTAAATTAATAGTATCCAATTTGCAAATGAATTCCAATTCAGCAGTTTCTCGCTGGAGTCTGGATTTGAAGTTTTTTTGTTTTAAGATAGCGACCTTCATGTCTGTGATTGCGTGACCAGAGAGATTGAAGTGTTCTCCGACTGGTTTATGAATGTTATAATTCTTGACATCTGATTTGTGTCCATTGATTCTTTTACGTAGAGAATCAATGGACACAAATCAGATGTCAAGAATTATAACATTCATAAACCAGTCGGAGAACACTTCAGTCTCTCTGGTCACGCAATCACAGACATGAAGGTCGCTATCTTAAAACAAAAAAACTTCAAATCCAGACTCCAGCGAGAAACTGCTGAATTGGAATTCATTTGCAAATTGGATACTATTAATTTAGGCTTAAATAGAGACTGGGAGTGGCTAAGTCATTATGCAAGGTAGCCTGTTTCTTCTTGTTTTTTCCTACCCCTCCCCCCCCCCCCCAGATGTTCTGGTTTAACTTGGATTTAAACTTGGAGAGTGGTCAGTTTAGATGAGCTATTACCAGCAGGAGAGTGAGTTTGTGTGTGTATGGGGGTGGGGGGGATGTGAGAAAACCTTGATCTATGCAGGAAATAGCCCTACTTGATTATGTAAAGAGTTGTCACTTTGGATGGGCTAGCACCAGCAGGAGAGTGAATTTGTGTGGGGGGTGGAGGGTGAGAAAACCTGGATTTGTGCTGGAAATGGCCCACCTGTTGATCAGTTTAGATAAGCTATTACCAGCAGGACAGTGGGGTGGGAGGAGGTATTGTTTCATATTCTCTGTGTGTATATAAAGTCTGCTGCAGTTTCCACGGTAAACATCTGATGAAGTGAGCTGTAGCTCACGAAAGCTCATGCTCAAATAAAACGAGTTAAATTGCACTGAACAGTTTGTTGCTGAATCTAGTGTAAAAATGGACAGCTATATGTTTAGACATTTTCTGAAATAAATTTCAGGCTAATTCTGTTTTAAATGATTAAATGCTTCCTTTGTAATTTAGGCTATTAAACCCTACCCCACTTTTGGTACCCTAATAATATATCAACAGCCTCACCCTGGAGTGCTTTCTATAAGAAGCTCCTGTTTTCACAGGTTATACACACGGAACCAGGATCAAGTCCTAAACAAAACCAACACAATGTTAGGTTTGCAAGTTTAAACACAAAACAAGTCAGGAAATTAAAGTTAAATTTCTCAAAGCAATTTTAACTTGACCATATGGCATATTAAGGTAAACATTTAATCTAGCAAAAATACTACATGTGTAATAGGAATGTTATCTTACCCCCATGAGAAATTTAAAATTGAGTTTCCCAACTATTTAAATTTGCAATTTTATTCTTGGATTGACATAGCGTTGTGTATTTTTTTAAATAAAGCTTAAATATGTAGAGGAATAAAGGAATAAAGAAAACCAGGTGAAGAACTGCTGAGTTGCGCAGCTCTGTAGTGCAACCAAAGGTACTTATGCCACTAAAAACAAAGATTTTCAGCTCCTCAAGAGCAGTACATGTTAAAGCTTTTTTAACTTTGTAGATTAATATTTTTTAAGTTCTCAGCTCAGAAGGCTCATAACTGAGGTATCCAAAGAAATTCCTAGTCTTCAATCTTTTCTCTCTTCTCCACCTGCATCTGGTGCTGATTGTTTTGCAGGCTACAAGAGTGCTATAACCTTAGTGCCACCCACATTTGTGGAGGGAAAGATTAGCATGAAACTTCATCCAGACTATTTTTTACAAGGCAAAATAATTTCATCTAGGGATGAGGAGAGTGAAGAAATCCAACTTTTGACCCTATTTACTTGGTGGGGTAGTTGTGGTGTTCACTGATGAGGGAGGTCTGACCCTGGCCTATATATAGTAATACAGTTACCTGTGGAGTTTTTAAGCCCAATTGGGCATTCAGTTCTCCCTGGCTAAACACCATAATAGAGTGCCTATCTGAACAAGGCAGAATCCACAGTTCCAGCCATCAGAAAGGGGCGTGGCTGGGGCAGATCAACAAAGCCAAATCTGCTTTGCACAGCAACTTGCTTCATTGAATACTCTGACTCAAAAGCTGCTGTGACAATTTTGTGGATGAACAGAGGGGTCGTGATTCTGACAAGAAAATACATTTTTTCCTCAGGCCAAGTATTGTACCAAAGCAAATAAAGCAAGACTTAACTCTGAATGTCCCCTGGTTGGGCTGGTTTGCATGTATTATATACACACATTCTCTTTTACCAAGAAAGCATTGTATATTATTCACACCTTATCACCTACAACTTCTGCTATTTGAACAAATCATCAAAGAATGTATTTAACATAAAACTGAAATAAATTCTTAAAGTTAAATATGGTTTATTGCTGATAATTGAGCTAATTGCTGTACATGTCAACAGAAAGTAGCAATGAAAGGCTTCTGACTTTCTACTGTGGTGTAAATGCTTACCAATTATATTCTCTACCACAGAAGACCATTAGCATTAATGTATGTTGCTCGGCTTCTCTACACAGAAATATTAACATAAAGCATTAAAAAATAGTAATTCTTGGATTCCCATAAATTGATGCTTTGTGTAAAATATATTCAAAGTACAGTAAGATTGACCAAAGTTCAAACTCAATATTGTTTGCATTTTCTTTTAACATTCTAGACAAGCTACATGGCAGTTGCTATACATGCCTCCTTTATACAGAGACTTGACGCTAGTCTTAGAGGCTCAGAAAAGAAAAAGCACGGTGAGATGGTGGAGGAAATGTATATTTCCATCTGAAATATCTTAGCCTCATTGATTCTATGAATTAACCTTTTGCACTCACTAGTGGGTTTTGCAAACATACAGCTGAAAGAGCTGTCATATTGGAGTAGAACCGTTTGCACCTGTCAAAGCAGCTTATTCTTGAAAAACTGTTATGAATGTTTAGCAACACAGGCACAAAATCTGCCCAACCACCGATTATCAAAACAACAATGAAATTAATCATTTTATTCTCCCACTGAAAAAAAAAATTGCTTGCCTTGGGAAAGCACAAACCATGTAAGAGTTAGCCAGAAGGCAGATGGTTCCATCTATGCATAGCTCCAAATCCACCTGCACATATATACACAATAGCCATAAAGGGATGCCAGAAGAATCTTCCCTTCAGCTTCAACCATATCTGCCATATCACACTGGCAGAAACATTCCCCACAGTAAACCAACTAGTCTATCCAAAATATGCACACACATAGTCCCACACCCTACCCAGTGTAAGGAAGCTTATTTTGCAGAGGAAATGATCCCAGCAGAATCAAGTAAGTGGTCACTGGGTCAAAGAGTGGCACTCAACCCACTGGTCTTGGTACGCTTTAGTACACTGTGCAGGAGTGTTTTCATGAAAGTCACTTAAGAAATGTAAGTTTGATCAAACTGAAAGTAGAAAACTTGAATGTAACCATCTTTTCACTGAAAATTTTTTTCTACAGACATTTCTTAATTTTCATCAAAAGATAGTTTTGTTACATAAAAGGAAATTTAGAAGCGTAAATGAGTCTCTGTGTAAAGTCATTTTTGACACCAGCTGTAAGTCTTCCCCACTACTCTGGAATCAGGGACACCTCCTTCCTCTGACCATGTTGGGGCAGAGAGAAGGAATTAACTTTGTCTCACTGCTAAGCAAGCTTATCGGGGTACCACTTTTACTCAGAAAATAAAGCAAAATTGGAAGCATTCCAGGTATATTCAAAACAGAAAAGGGAGGAATTTGTCAGCCCACCACTTGGTGATTTTATAAGTGTAAAGAGGGAGGAAGTAAAATATGATGCGAGTCCGGTCCATCTGTGTGACTTTAAGATAATGTCTGTAAGGGACAGGTATTACATTTACAAACTGTATTTTCCAGGAAGAATAGAAACTCTGAGACATAATCCTCAAGCTTCTCTGTCTGAGAACAACTTGCAAAGGATTTCCATGTTACAAGGGAAAAAAAAATTAATGTTGTAGATACAGCACACTATCTAGTGATGTACTGTCAAAATTTTAACATGGAACGCTTTAAAAAAAAAATGTATTCCACC